AGAATAACATGAATAACATAGTAAATGGTGGCATAAGTGACAGTCTGAAGGCACTGTGATGGTTAGGGGTGGGCGGTTGCTCTAAATGTCATTAGTGGAAGGGCTGCGAGAGATTGGTTATATACCACTGCCCCCTTTCACTGGTACGTTGGCAACAACCGCCCACCCAAGCCATCGTGCCCACCGCCTTCCAGTGCGGAGGGTATCGGCTGGCTAGGTTTTGAGGTGACGACGCCTGCTCTCTGTGCTGCCATCAAATAAACCCTTCAGCACTGACTTTAGTGACGAGAGAGGCTTTTCGTTCTCAACCAGTTGGAAATTGGGGTTCACAGGAACCTCTGGGAATGGAGCCTGGGCCGAAACTCTCTAAGGAAAAAGTTTGATAAAAATCTGGCTTAACTTTCTGAGATTCTGAGCCACGTTCCAAGCGAATAGAGGCGAACTATCATGGAGGGGTACACTGACCTGACCGACAGTTGGAGGTTTTACGGCTGCTTACATCTCAAATTTCGGAGATGGGAAGAGCGAGGCCGCGCATTTTATTCGAACGTGTGGCGACTGCCCTTTTGGTGGGATACTGTCGTTTTGAAATAATTCTAAATTGGCATGTCTTTGTCCAGCACATGGCGGGATGACAGTTGTCTCAATTGGGACACGACAGAGGCATCCCTCACCATGTTCAACTGAAGTGCCCGGCCACGCCCTCCCCAATTTTAGGATGCAGCGTGCCTTCTCTCGCATGCACTGCCGGCAGTGGAAATAAAATTATTCCACTACAGGAGACGTGCTTCAACGAGAACCAGTGCTGTGCCCCATGGGCAGCAACCGGTGAATGCACTCGAAACGAGCCCTACATGAGCGAATGGTGCAAAGCTAGTTGTGGCCTTTGCAGAACGCAATATAAGCTGGTTGACGGTGAGTTTGATTTTCTTTGATTTTTCTTGACGTGACGCGATTAAAACTTTATCCGGGTTCGCGGAAACGTACAAGTAATATTTCCGATGGATCAATGTTACCGTATTTTGCGCGCTTGGTTAAGATCCCAGGTTCGAGGTACAGTCATTTCCACGTAATGTTCGATGAGCTATGGCGTGATTAGCGCGTGCTCCTAAGCCTGGAGAGGGAAGGGAGTT